GGATGGGACGGTGCTGTTGGCCTTCCTGGCCAAGAAGGCTGCCCGAGCAGCTGTGGGGAGCGGGCTTTGAAGCCCCCACTTGCCCAACGTGGGGTCTGAAGCCCAAGGTGCAGCCCCCTGAGCTGTCTTTCCTGCTTGCTCCACGTCCAGACACAGGCACTAACGGCAGGACGACGTTCGGTTCTTGGGAGGAGGCGGCGGAACGATCTCTACGGCTCCCTGCTGGGGCTTAGCAAGGCGGGGCGAGGGGCCGGCGGGGCGGGGGGAGCAAGGCGTGCCGAGGGCCAGGAGGGGCGGGGGGGACTCCCGGGGCTTGTCGAAGAAGATGGAGGAGGACATCTCTGTTTTGAGCTTGCCGTCGGCGCTGCCCTCGCCCGAGGCGGCGTCGGGGCCGCAGCCCTCGCAGCAGCAGCAGCAGCAGTCCATGAAGGCCTGGCCCAGGGGTCTGCAGAGGCACAGGAGCAGCACGGGGGTCACCGAGCACTTGAAGAACAGGAAGAACTGGTTGATGAGGTGGAGCAGGTCCAAGGTCTGCCTGGCGAGGTCGGGGGACATGTAGGCCACCACGATGTTGCAGACGTTCTCCGGGGTGGCGCAGAGCCCGTAGATGACGGTCAGCCCGATGATGGTGCAGTTCAAGTGGCTCTCACACTGCCCGTGCTTGGTGCCCCGGCACTCGGCCTTCTTCTGGGTGCACCGGATCCTGCGGGTCCACAGATGGCAGCTTTTTTTAGTAGCAGCCGAAGTACCACCACATCCGGGCGTTCTGGTAGGTGAGCACCAGCGAGTAGAGGGACTCGGGCAGGTCGGGCGAGGGCTTCATGGCACAGAACTCCGTCACCGTGCCGGACACGGGCGACGTGTCCTGAGCCAGCTGCCAGAGCAGGACCTCGGGCACGGAGAGAGTCATGGAGCCCACCCAGATGACGGCCAGCTTGGCGAGGATGGACTGGCAGCGCTCGATGGGCCGGGCGCTGGCCTGCGGGCTGGTGGCCGCGTGGAACCTGTCGATGCCCAGGGCACAGAGGCTGAAGGTGGTGACTCCCAGGGACGACACCTGGGGGGGGAAGGAGGAGGTGGAACCTGCTGAGGGAGGCTTGGCAAAGCCCCAGCTACCCAAGACCACAGCCCTGGAGCCTTCCTCTGAGGCTGTAGAGAGGTGGCTGCATCCCTAGGGCTGATCTTGTGCCACTCCTGAAAGGACAGGGGGTAAAGGTGTCCCCCTGACCCCTTCGGCCCTGCCCAGCTCCCTTTTCTGCAGAAGGGAGAAGCTTTGCTGGTTGTCTGTCTGTCTGTCCAGCCAGGGTGGGAATGGCAGGATTGGCCCTCAGGCTCTTCCTCCCTTCTGGATGGCTCTTGGAGAGGAAAAGCAGTGACCATCACCCCCACCAGCATCTTCCCAGGGTCCTCAAGGCCCCCCCACAGCTGCCCCAAGCTGGCTCAGCCCTGCCCTGCTCTGCAGAGCTGCCATCTGCTTCCTGGATGGGTCAAAGGAGTTGAAGGCACCGTTGTCCCAAATCAGCTTGGGGCAATTTCCGCTGCATTGAGGATGGCAGGAAAAACATCCTATTTGCCAAATGGAAGAGGCCAAAGGAGGCCGAGGAGCTGC